TTCTTTACCAAGAAATACGTTTGTGATAAATTTTTGGAAAATGGGCGTGGCACCGCCCACTTATGATCACATATATGTATCTCAGTAACCGTTCTACCAATTTGTACCAAACTCGGTGTGGTTATTGTGCTTGCCACATATAAGCAAACCGTTGAAAATTATTGAAATCGGACTAAAATAACGGCCGCTTCTCATATAACGGTAAATTTCAGAACTGCTTGAAACTTCAAAATTTCGAAATCTAAGGACTCTAATTTACCCAAAATTGATACGCCCCGGCTTACCATATAGCCGTAGCTTTCGGTAAGGCGAAAAACATATATTTAATACGTGCGCCGGGTATTTAATGTTCGGCTCTGCCCGAACTTAGGCTTTCTTACTTGTTTTAATTACACTTAATAGATGCTTTAATAGCCATATCAGCGGCATTGGCTACCGCTCTGTGCTGGTGTTGTTATTGTCGTTATATTATTTTAATGAATATTTCAATGTTTGCTGAAATATTTAATAGTCGTGGGTATTTATTGCAGTGTATATGTAAGTCTGATTTTCAGAGCGTTTAGCTAGGCGTATTTAAATTGAGAAGCAAAAAAAAAAATACAAAATATTTTGTGTTAGCTACAGGCGTGAATTGCATTGCTGGAAATCTGGCGGGTAGCTAATGGTGGTTTCCTATAGCATGTGAATTCACCAGCGTCTCACTAGAACGCGGTACTAGAGGGCGCTTACATGAATATTTAAATATTTTGCATGCTTTTGCTTTAATTAATTTTTATCTTTTTGTTTTTATATTTTAGACAAATATCCGCATCAAAGAAGAGCCCGATGATGGCACCAAAGACATACCACCGCCGATGTGCAGTTTATCGGATATGTCCGATCATGAGGCGTCAATCGGTAAGTGCTTCTAGTAGATAATAATATTTTAAGCTAAATTTGTAATATATGTACATACACTCATTGAAGTATTTTGCTATGAATTTTTTACGATATTCAAAATGTTTTTATGGTAAATTAAAAAAATAAATAAGCTCATCCTACCACAAAAAAAAAAACATGTAAATCAAAATATAAAATTCTGGAAAAAATTTGGCAAAATTCAACAAATTTTCACCTTTTGAATCGGATTTTTTAATTCTTCTTTTGCTATTTATGGTCTAATAAAAATTTATTAAAATCTTTTTAGAAACAATTCAAGTACGCAGGTTCATAGCGTTTTAAATTTTAGTTTAATAAAGTGCAAGGTGATACGTTTTTTTTTATGTCCGTCTTTTTTTATATAGCGAATTTTTTAGTTAGACATTTTTATTTTCATGGTTTTTGTTGTAAAATGAGCTATATTTTTATAAAAAATTAACGAAAAATTTACCATGAAAAACATTTTTAACGCATAATACTTCGTTGAGTGACTATATACTAGACCGTAATTTCGAAAGAAAAAACAAACTTTTTCCGAACGTAGGGGTCGGTTTTTACAGTTTTCGTTATATCTTCGACATTGACAGTCGGAGCTTAAATTATGATATATCGACGTCTCAAAGAGATTTTTCTTGCAAAGTTGACCTCAATTACCCTTTTCTAGTAGTTACCCACCAGATCTCAGTTCCTACCACCCTAACTTACTAAACTAATGTCTGTAAATAAGGTCCCCTGTGATTCATGTCAAACAAAATGAAGGGTTGCAATAAATACTTGTAAAAAAATTCGCTACTTGTTTCATAGGACTAACGGTTTTAGAGGAAAATGATTTCGGTATGGTTCTAAAGACACCGATTTACATAAATACATACATATAAAGGCATATTTCTTTGAATTTCGGTATGGCTAATATCTGAGAGCTTTTAATTGATAACAACGATATGTACTTATGAAGATAATTATACACATATGGATGTGCATACTTACTTACCTATATATATACATATCTACTAGTTAGATGCCTTTTTCTAATTAACTTCGCATTTGTAATGCATCAATGCATACATACAAACAGATATCAAAGCTTTATGGTCGTGTATATTTTTGTATTTATTTGTACGTGCATACAGTGGTCGAAATAATTATAGCCGCACCAAATTTTGACAAGTTAAGACATATTATTTTTGTTGTTATTTAATTTTGGTTATTTTTTTTATAAAAATATAGTTCATTCTTTAACCAAAACCCGTGTAAATCCAATTTTCAAACTTTGTGCAATATTACAAAAAAATCAACAAACTTTCGTAAAATTTCTAACTTTTTTAATAAGATTTCCTAGCAAGATTCTGATACGCAGTTACGTAACGTAGCCCATTGAATTCTAGTGGAACTAGTTCAAATTCAAAAACGAATACAAATAATTTATTTTTATATGGAAGAAAACCGAAACATCCCGGGCAAAAAAATAATCTAAAAATTCAACCGTAATTTTTAGCCATTTGAACTTGTTCCACTAGAATTCTATGGGCTACAAAACTGCATATCAGAATCTTTCTAGGAAATCTAACTAAACAGTTACAAATTTTACGAAAGTTTTTTGATTTTTTTTAATATTGCACAAAGTTGTGCACTTGGATTTACAAGAGTTTTTTAAAGGATGAACTATATCTTTATAAAAATACCTATAATATGTTAAAACCTGTCAAAATGTGGTGCGGCTATAATTATTTCGACCACTGTACATACATATGTGTGTTAAAATGCGCCAATTTCTTTTTTTTAAGCATACATCGTTATGTGTTTTTGTAATGTTTTTAATTCTGCGCAACGATAAGAAATTTCTTGGAAAATACTGATGTTGTACCAAAATAACATTTAGCACTAATTGAATGAGGGCGAGCGCTCATGTTGTTCACAAAACAAAAGATGAATGTTTATGAAGTTTTACAATACGCTGAAATGGATGAAATAGTTATATTGTAAAATATGAATATGTATGTACATATGTCTGTGTTTGAATAAATTAACTGAGTATTTCAAAATATTATTATTATACACTTATGTACGTGTGTATGTGTGTATTTACATATGTACTTATGTATATGTATATGTTATAAATTTGGACGAACAAAATCTATTATCGATTGATAATGTTATGGTTGCCAAAAAATATATATATTTCGCGTTTCATGTTGCAAAAATGAACCGATTCAGGTTTATATAGAAGTACAGAGGTACTTGAATGCATAGATACATACATATGTACATACATATACTAAATAATTCATTCGAAACGAAATTAAAATAATACGAAGGACAAACAATCAACTACGGAACACATAGAATAAGACACATCTGGACATAAACACTTATGTGTGTCAGTATGTACATTAGGATGGTACTCAAAACCAAAGGAACGATTTTTTCAGTCTCACCCCCTCAAGCGGTAATACCACGGTAACAGATATCACATATAAATTTTGGTCCCCATTGAAGTCGGTAAAGACGTCTTCAACAGGTAACCTGAACTTTGACCCCTGTGACAAGCCTTAATCGACTTCAATCGGGACCAGGATTTATATGTGACATCTTCGACTATGATGAAAAAAAGTAAATTTAAATTTTTTGAGTCTCCATAGGGGAGTCTAAACTTTGCACCCTATGCGACACTCCTCAACCATCTCCCATCAGGACCAAAATGTTTTTCTCGAGTTTCATTTTTTTTATTATTTATGATACTATTGAAGTAAATGAGCGATATGTAAGTACATACTTTCAAATTTCTGCCTTTTGTATGGAGGCCGACCCGGTCTAATGTAATGCATAAATACCCACAAGTACATATGTGTAGCTTTGTATATTAATTAATAAAGTTTTGATAAGATAAGCATTACTGGTACTTAAATACTTTAACAGTGTGTCGACGAAATGATAGTCTCAGCGACAAACCAATTTAAAAATAGAAAAAATTACAATCCGAAAAAAAAGAATAAAAGACATAATATTGCTTTCATTTAGGCGCCAATGTCGTCAATAAAATTAAAAAAGGCATTTTCTAATGCCCTGCAGGGAATCCAACAGCTTCAAACTGAGTCAGTTTTGTGAATGACTCAACAAATATTTAAATATACTTACATACTATATCGATGATTGAGTGGAAGATCGACCTATCTCGGCAGCCAGTTCGAAAACGCCCTATCTCAAAAATTTTTTCAAGAACGCCCTACTTCAGAATTTGATCGAAGAACGCCCTTTTTCAGAATTTTATTGAAAAAACACACTATGCCAGTATCTGGTTGAATAATGAATGCCCTATTGCAAGATGTATGCGAGAATTTAATTAAATTTCACGAGATGTTTTGATACACTTTTCGTTATCAAACAAGCTTTTCACTTTAACTTTGATTTATATTTTTTTTTTTGATAATCTTTTTTAGCGTTTATTATTTGCTAAAATTTTGATTGTGATGAATTCAGTTTCTAAGGTGCCCATCCCTAAAACAATCATGAAGGATATCTTATCTTAGTATAATTGTCTACAAATATGACAACATACTGTACTTCGAAATTGTCAATAAATATTTCATTTGTAGATGCATATGTTTGCACACAGGGAATTTGTAGATATGTAGGTACCCTACACTATGAGTATCGAGGAGTTACTTAGCTTGCTCTCAGATACTAAATTTCTTTCCAATCCTTCCCCGGAGGAAATTTTCTTAAGGAAAGTGCATGTAGACTGCGTTAGATCTTGCCAACTGCTGGGTACTAAAAGTTAGCTAGCACCATTTCCTGCAGGGTATGTACATACATATATATGTACTTAAGTATGATAGTTCTAATCTTTGACAATAAGTTTTCTTTCTGGGGGCTTTAGATTGGTACATATTTAGTATGCATAATTGATATTTTCAAAACAAAAATTGTGTGTGACGTTTGTACTTGCGAAACAAAACAAAACTTTTGCATTTATTTAATAAAAATTAATGGCCTTAATCATAAAAAATTAAGTAGGTTTAAAGAGCTCTATAAAATGACGTTTTCATACATTTTTCAGTTTATAAACCTTTTCTAACGCTACTCTATTTTTTATGAATAATAGCATATTTTCACCAAAGGCTTAACTGCAGTTAAGAGCTCAGTTAAGTTCCAAGAATTTTGACATGTAGTGATCGGCAAGGTTTATTTCTTAATTATTGCTTTTTTCTTTTCGTTGCTTGTACTTAATAGGTGGAATTACCCCCTTCGAGTTGTAATCGCCCTTTTTCCGATAGGCATAAACTGCAGTTAAGGCTTGGTGGGAATCGACTATAAGGCCATAATTATTTGAAAATTTCACTTAACTAGCACATACCCAAAATATGTTATGTAGCTGTTGTTCGTAAAGGATGTACATTAGGATGGTCCAAAAATACACAGGAAAATTAGGTTGTTGGAATTTTCTTGCTGTCACCTTTCAAAAATTATAGAAAATGGAAAATAAGGACACCCGTATTTTTTTTTTAGTGGAACGCGATTGCGGAGATATTTGTATTGTTCGGTCGATTTTCAAAAATGAACTGTCAAATTGCTTGTCTTGTATGTAGATGTGCAATATAGTTTTACACCCAAATTCATAAAAAATAAAGAACACTTTAGCTGCTTTGTAAATCGAAAATTTGTATGAAAATGTCACTTTATAAAGCTCTTTAAACCTATTTTGTTTTTGTATGAATGAGACCATTAGTTTTTTGAAAAAAATTGCGACCTGCTGGAAAATTAAGGTCAAATAACTCAAATTACTGAATAAGTTAAATGAATGCTTATAATCGAAATTTTTTAACTGCATGTAGGAGGTTGCCACCTGTTTGAAAAGTTAAATGCAATTTAATTCATCAGTTAATTACAATACATATGTATCAATTCTCCTCATCTGAGGTCACTTCACTCACCTCCCCTCAACCCATGTTAACTCAACTCACCTAACCTCCACTCTCCAC